GAAAGAATGTCTGGCCCTAGAGCTCTATTCTGCTATGTCCCTCTCACTGTTAATGCTAATCTTTTCAAAGAATTCTTTAAATTAGAATATCCACTCCCCCTAAAATGTCTTCAGAAACCTGTTATAAAAAACAAGCTTCACAGGGTCCTAATATTTGCTATGTGATTCAAGTACAACAAACTCAAATGCCCTCCAAGAACAAGAAAACAGTCACTTGTAAGGAAAACAGAATAAAAGTGACTGCATTTGGGAGAAAATGAAGAGTGGTACGGACCACTGAAAACTGAAGAACATATGACCACCAAAAAGCAGATGCTACTACTCTTCTTAGATGGTTACTGCCAACGTAAGCAGTTCCAATGTTGCTTGCACTTACAAATATTAAGGCACAAATTTCTCACTTTAGCTTTAAATCATTAATTCATAAGAGAAACCTCATCTTACTATTTCACTAAGTTTATAATTAGCCTTATAAAATTTGCACGTATGCATGTATTTATACTAAGGTATCAAATCCTACTCTTAATTCATTCCTTTCCTTTTCTCAACCGAACCATTTTCTTCTGTATCTCGAGTAATCCAATCTGGATTTCTTCCTCATGTTGTTTGCATTTTTATTTCTTCTATTAATCTGGTAAATTCCTCAAGAATGTCTATTTCATCTTTGTGTACCGTATGCCCAGCAATGCTATTATCATATGGCATTCCTCAATAAATGAGAAAATGTAATCCTCTTTCATAGATCCATTAAATATTTAAAATATCCTTATTGCAAAAATAATCACATAATCTGTCCAAACATCAAAACCGAAAAACCCAAATGACAATTATAATCACCCTAATTTTGGAAGTCAAAAAAAAAAAAAAAAAAAAAACCTGGGGCAAAACATCACATACCTCACCAAAACCACCAAAGTACTCTCTTATTTTCTCTTCAGGTGTATCTGGAGAAAGGCCACCAACAAAAATTTTTTTAACAGGCTCTTTTGTTTTCATGGCTTTGGCCCTTTTAGGATCAATCACTTTCCCATTCAATTTATGTTCTTTCTGATCCATGACCTAAGGAAATTGAAGTTTTTTATTTTAAATATGTGTATCTTAAGTTCAGAGACTATAACTTAAAAATAATTATAGTTAAATAAACATAGCTAATGCTAGGCATATATTGACTGGCTTTTGATTGTCAATTTGTGGTGATATGACACCAACTAACACACACCAATGTTTAAACATAAAGATCAATAAGAATGGGAAGACACAATTTAATCAATAACTCAAAAATATCACAGCTTTAACTGTCAGCAAGATAAACACGACTGCTACTTCCCTTTAGCCCAAGACTAAAAAGATTAAGTTGAAAGTTTCTTGCCTAGCAAATTTCAAGCTCTGTTCTGTGAACTTGTCACAGCTAGCACATTCTTTCAACAAAGCATCGTAAAGTCTCAATATTTAAACAATTTAAATTTAGTAGAGCCTGGCACACAAAGTATTCATTCAGCAAACAATTTTTTAATACTTGGGCATACTTTTAATTTTTTATTAAAGCACAGTTGGCATAATAAACAATTCTTGAATTCAACTCTTTATAAAATGTATTGGCAAGAACTGTGTCTTCCTTCATATTACTACAAAAGGGGAAGTCACAAACAATGGGCAAATTAATTTTATAAAACTATCCACATATTTTATATTAACTGATCAGAACACATAACACACTACCTTATCTACACTCTCCGACTCTTTAAATAGCACAAAGCCAAAACCCCTTGATCGCCCTGTGATAGGATCTAACTTCAGAGTGCAGTCTACAACTTCACCAAATTTGGAGAAGTAGTCCTTCAGATCTTTCTTTGTAGTGTCCCAGCTAAGGCCTCCTATAAACATTTTCCTGTAAAGACAAAAAGCAATATTACCAAATGTATTTTTATTTCATTTCTAAGAGAATGTGCTTCAGGAAAAAAATTTTTTTTTTTTTCAAACTTGCCTTAAGTATCCACATCATTAATACCTTTTTCAAACTGCACCAATTTACAGGGCAGTGTATGTAAATGTCATTTTTCCTACATAGTCACATATCAAAAACACCCTATTCCAGTTTGGAAAAGTTTGCTACTGCTGCACCTGCATAATTACAATAGTGAGCGAGCAGCGGATTGTCTTTTGACTTGCCAAAAAAATGTTATTCCCAAAGTAAAAATACTATACGTTGTCTTCCTTAAATTACATGTTAAATATTGGTAACAGAAAACACAGAATTTTAGCTTCAAATTTCTCTTCCAAAATCTTCATTGTACTTATAAAAAGGCTGTGAAATCCCTATGATCACAGCAACAGCATGTCTATGCTGAAGCTTTCTATTTAATAGTTCGCTAAAACTCTTAGCACATAAAAAGGAAGATGTCTAAGTCTCACTATTAAGTTGTAAACCAAGTTTTTTGATGTGCTAAGAGTCCTTAAAGACAAAATAATCATGTAAACAATTCATGTGAACCATAAGAATTACCCACTGAAGCACTATCTGCTAATTAACCTAGATAATTTATTTACAGTAGAACCTCAGTTAACCAGCAATAAAATATTTAAACCTTCAAAATGCTAAACATGACCAGTGGGGTAGTAAATGGAAACCATCAAGACACTTTAAGACTAAAAATATATACCCCCCCACCCCGCCTAAAATTTCAAGTGAAGTCTTTTTTAACAGCAAATGGCCATAAAGCTCTGATCAGCAGCTCTGTGATCTGTTCAGATCTGCTCCCTGTGCCCCCCTCCAAAAATGAGCTACCATTTATCTCCTACCCTTTAAAGAGACAGGACTGGAGATTTTTAAGGGTAAACTGTCAGAATTTGTTATGTGAGGGCTAAAAATTTCACCATGGGAATAAAAGCATCCTTGCTCAACAATTTCTTTGTAACTGGGGTGGGTCAAGGGTAGGATGGGGATGTAGTACTAACTTCCAGCTCTGGAAAGTAAATTAAAGCACAAAACATCTACATCTTGTGGGCTTTGAAGATACTGTCACTAAAGCCAATTCTTAAAACAAGAGGCCAATTTTATCCCTAGAATAAGATCTTGCTTCTGCTTCTCCCTAAAGATGCCAGATTAACTGAGGTGTTACTGATCTTACTATTTTAACCAGACTTGTTTTTTCTTCTAATGACAAAGTTAACTTTTAATGCAAAAGAAGTCTTACTTAAGGCACATACTGTCCCTCCCATTTCTTTATTTTTATTTTCTTAGGAGAGGCAACCTTTGGTTGACCTCGCAGATTGCAAGGACCTTGTAAAGCTTACAATCCTTTTTTTTTTTTTACATGTCTACAGCACCTGGTCTTCCTAAGTGGTCTCCCACCCAAGTACTAACCAGGCCCGACCCTGCTTAGCTTCCGAGATCAGAAGGGATCGGGCTTGTTCAGGGTAGCATGGCCATAGACTGTCCTTCCCATTTCAAGTTGTTTCAATTTGTACTTGAATTGTAGAGCTGGGCCTTTTATATGCTTAACTTTCACGACTTTCTCTAATAAAATGTCCATGTTTGAAGTAATCTTTATTAACTTTTTGTATTTTATAATCAAATAAACAAAAACACCCAAGTTGTATAGGTATTTTTAATGTTTACTGCCAATTCCATGGGGAGAAAGTTGAGGTATTTTCAATTACATTTTCTTTCATTCAAATAATGCATCTTCTAATATTCAATAGTAATCACTTAAATTGCCTTAAACACCTTATTTTTTAAACGAAAGATGCACAGCACTTCATAGGATAAAATTCATTACCAACATTTCTTCTTTCAAGATGAGAACACTAACATCTTTTTAAAGTGGAGAAAGAAAACTAACTACTAAAGCAATGACCTCTTGCTCAGATTATCCATAGCAAGTCCAGAACAGAAACAACTTCAATTAAGTTGAAATTTAACTATTAAATTACCACTTCTGTAATTATTACAGAAATTTTTCATCAATAATTTAAGTTTGACATTATTTCAGCCTGAAGAGAATATCTGAGGAATAGACCAAACAGACGCAAAATTTTCTTGCCTTTCGACTGCAATTTTTTAAAATAAGACTTATTTATTGAGACAGAACTAGTATATATTTAACCAAGGCAATGTTTATATTGGATTAAGTGTCCTTAATTTAAAATTAAGAAACGAAAAATGACAAAGAAATAACTTATAACAAGAACGAGGCATGTTCTATTATTCACAAGCCCCAAATGTTTTTTTCAACATAGAAAGTCAGTTTTTTTAAATATCAGATAAGCATACTAATTCATCAAATAGCCCAATAAAGTGCTCTTTAAACAAACTTCCCATCTTTAATATTTAATAGTAGTCTTTGGTAGAGAGGTTAAATGTCTACTACTTTAGAACTAAAAGGTCACTAAAGATGCTAGCTATCCTTCCTAAATAATCAAATCCCATTTACCCAGAATATAATAAAATACTCTGGGTCGACTATAATTTACACGTATTCCATAGAATGATTACTATTTCTCAAAAAATTAGAGCAAAATATGTAGAAAAACTTCAGCTATCCAGCACCTTTAGAGATATTCCACCTTCCTTAAAGCAATGCTGGCCTTCCCTAATCTCTCAATTGTTTTTTAACCTCTAATTCTTTGGAATGATTTTTTTTCCTACATTATCACACTCTTCTGCCTTTTTAATCAAATACAGTAATCATGATTTAACACTGTCAGTCATCCTCATTATGCTACTATAGCATGCCTGTAGGGTCTTCTGAAATCGGAGAGCTATTTTTTAATACACTAAGTAGATCTCATTTCTTAGCTCTTTTAACAGTTCTTATTTTGCCAGACTAATCACCAGTTATTGTTCTAAAACACCTCCCCCTCCCATTTCATAGGGTAGGTACCTAGCACTCAAACTTTTCAAATTTTGTGTATCGTGAAAGTAAACAGCCTCTAAGCAAAGAGCCCAAGTGGCAAATACATTATTAACATTTTGGTAGCCCAAAATGCTTTTTCTTCTGCTTTAATAAGGTTGCTGCACAAAAGACAACCAGACAGGTAAATATACTGCGATGAATACAAACTGTATGTAACAAATCCATTCCACCTTTACTCAGACACACCAAGATATAACAGTATAGTAAGAAAAGGCCTGTTATCTTAATTCTGGATAAATTGTAACTTTTCTTAGCCTTTCTAGAACATCAGCTTTCTTGACATGCTCTCCCTCAAATTATGAGATAGTATATGATGCCAATTTAAATTTTCTGTATTTTATATTACTGTATCTTGCTTGAAGCACAAAACCTATTGTCCATCCAGATTACCTCTGCTGCCTTGAATACAAAGACTGACTTTCCAGTTGCTGTCACTCCTGCAGGTGCACACAATTTACAATGAAGTAGAGAACTCCAGAAAAATCCTAAGCAGCCAAGTTAAAACTACATCACAAGATTTGTTTAAGTAGCAACAAAAATGGGTCCCTAATGCTGCAATACAAGTTTCAAATGTGATTTGGTCGTAAGTGAATCAATTCCAATCAAAATGTAGGACTTCCCGTACAGTATTTTCTTAACAAAGTTTAACTTCTTAAATCTATTTATAAGCTATTTAGCACCCCCAAAAGCTACTCACTTTAAAATACCTGCTCAACAACAAAAATAAATACTATAAAACACCTACTCAACAGTTGAAACCTCCTTACTTTTACAGACACTGAAATTACGTCATATTATAATATTAAATAAGCATAAAGTTATATAACTCAGTGGAAATAACTCATCTAAGGGCTATGCAGTATCATTTAGAAATTTAGGCTGCTTTGTGGGAAATACTTTTAGAGAAAGTAAATTTAGAAGCAGTAAGCCAAACAGCCTGGGTTTAAATCCTACATGCACCACTAACTGTATGACCTTGAGGGGGAAAAAAATCCCAAGATTGTTTCTACCTCTGTAAAAGGGGGGAAAAAAACTTAAGAGCCTACCTCATATATCTGCAAGTGAGGATTAAATGAACAAACACACTACAAGGGCGGCACAGGACACAATATCTTAAGTGCTCAATAAAAGTTATTTAGAAATGGTAGAGCACAATCTTAAGAATAATTTAATAAAGCAATGTTTTCATTTACTCAATGGCATTTTTAAAAATCTGCATGGAGTCTACAGACATGCCACCCTGAACATGCCTGATCTCGTCTGATCTCAGAAGCTAAGCAGGGTCAGGCCTGGTTAGTACTTGGATGGCAGACCACCTAGGAATACCAGGTGCTATAAGCGAGGAAAAAAAAATCTGCATGGGCTATATGAAGTTTCAACTTTAGGGGCAACAGGCCACGATGGATTTTATATAAATGAATCCTATCATTATTCTCAGACTTAACCCAAAAATTTTTAAGTATCCCATGCAAAAAATACATATACTGGAAATTAGGTCCAAGACCCTAAAAATATAGTTCCAAAATCTCTGACTTGTTTGTACTCTACATAATCGCCAGTAATTTTGGTAAGAAATAATTTCAAAATATAAAAGGCAATAAATACATATGAAGCAGTGCTGGCTGGTGGCGAATGTTCTGATTTAATACTCCTGGGGTTTTTTTTGCCATCCAAAAAACTTATTCTCTATACTATTAAGGTCATTAGATTTAACACTCCAAAGCCAACTGTATTTTATTTAAAGATATTTCCCCCAACAAGTCTTTACTATGAGACACCTCATTCAAGGTAAATAATAAGCACCATTACAGTTCCTCCCAATTTTGTAACAGGAACCAAAAAAAATCTTTCAAACACTTCCTAAAAAGTCAATCTTCTATTCCTACCTTCATAACAAGTTCTGACAGTTTAAAAAAATACGACAATGTAAATGTGATTTACATTTCAAGTACACGACAGGGCTGGCCAATCACTGTCACCTTTTAGTGTAATGTTACTCAAGCAATGTTACCACTAATCCTTATTTCAAAAAATTTTCTGGTGTTTTATCATTGTAATTATATTCCTTTAAAATCCTAAAATGACATTAAGTATAATGAAATATCATCAACACATAACTGATTCTCCCTCAGAAATCCTAGATTTAAAGTCACCACTTACCTATATAGGAAGGGGTGGGTTTACTTTATGTAACTAGGCAATATAACATATCAGAGTAATCATTTTAGATTGTATAAAAAATACCTTTGGAAACAGCTTGATAAACTTTTAACAAGTCAATAGAAAAAGACTGATTCCTCTAGCCCAGTATATGAAATCTCATTATTTCATACAAAATGAACCTAAATGACTGAAAAAAGATAAGTTGAAAATAGCTAATAAATTAAACATGAATAAATTTTAAATGTTTAACCCAGTATCTCTCCCCTTTTTTCATTTCATTCCAAGGCAGGAATGACATCTACTATTTTTACTTTTAAAATAAACTCTTAATCAGCTTTAATAAGGTAAACTCTCATCTACCTGGAGGTTAAGGAATGGGTTTCCTTAACCTAGAGGTTAAGATTCTGGTTAACTGAGATTACTACACATTCATAATTCTATAAAGATTTCTACTAAAATCAATTTACTTCATCAATACTAAACTCAGAAAATTTTTACCTTTACTGATGAAATTTCAGAATCATGTTACTTTTAAACAGTATAAGGAGAAAATTATAGAAGATTCATTCCATGACACTGCCTGTTAGTTACTTTTTGAATATATTTGCTGGTAGTTTTTCACCTTTCTCAGAAGACTAAAGCTGTTTGGGCTTTGTGATAGTTTCAAGTCTTAAGTAAGCAGGAATTTATAGAACATGACCCAATACTTAAAACTATCACCTTGATTATTAGCCAAACACTGCCTGTAATACAAGTCTTCCCACCCTCCCCCCAAATAGTCTTAATGTCTAGCTCCAATGTACAATATAATACTCCAGAAACTAAAACATGCTTACCTTTACTCCACAGGAGTAAACCACTGGCAGTATCAACTATTAAGACACAGGATAAATACACACAAGCTATGAAAGCAGGCTACGTAGTCAATCTTCCTGTGGTGAGCATTGTTCCAACACATCATCAGCAAACCAAGTAACAAATGATATATTACCTGAGACCACACTGTTGGAAGTGAAGTAACAGAAACAGATTCCACGCTTCCAGCATCCAGTTCAGTGCCCTATCTACTAAAACGTTGAAGCAGAACTAAAGTGAAATAAAACTTGAACTAAGAGAAGTTTGTTTCACTCCATTTGTGAACCTGCACACACACTTGAGGTGTACAGCTTTAAGTGGAATAGGAAAAAAGTTATTATTCTATTCCTTTTTAAATGCTTTCAAGTATGTATAACTTGAAGGCAAAACTAATCATCCTAAATGCTGGCCATAAATGACAATAGATTCAAAACGTTCTTATATTAAGGCAGCCTTACAGATAACAAAATACCCAGGCAATACTAAAAACACGCAGTAAATACACTTAGTTTATAGAAGAGGCCACATCACTTGAGGGGAAATAAACAGGCTTAAAACAAAAATTAGCACTGAAAAATTTCAATGATATTCTTCCATTCCAAAGTTAAAAGGTCAGGTGATTTTTTAGTATTTTTCATACTAGATCAGTTTGAAATGAAAAGAATTTAACATCCCTCCCTTATACGTGCACCATCTCAAGACTTGGGGGCATCAATTTCTGCAATTTTAACACTGGATACTTGTCCAAGGTTTCAAAGAATGCTAAAATTCAGACCCATCTAATCAAGGTCTCAACTTATAGTAAACCCAACTTTACCGAATCAAAGGCCAGTAAAGTTGGCATGAAACTACTCTAAAAGTAACTGTTTTGCAAAGCAACGTTCAGAATGGCCCAGAAGCACTAGGATATAGATTATAATTTCAAATACTTAAAACAAAAACATGTAGTCCCATTTTTTAAATTAGACAGGAAACACCTATAGCAGAATTCACTAAATTCCCCAACAGGAATAATCGCACTTGAGCTTATACACTAATGATGAGAGAACTAGATCAAACATCCTGTTATTAGAAAAATATTGCTGTACTGATTACTGAATGGGACTATTTTGCTTCCTGCCCAATCCAATGCAGACAAGTCAATGTACCTATCTTGTAAAACTGTCTGAAAGCTAACACGTATTATAAGTTTTCCACTGATCATGAGATTTCAAAATGTCTCCAGGTAGAGCTCACTTCAAGTACCTACCCTACAAAAAACTGCAGCCTGCAGAGAACGAGTCCACACCAAAATGGGAAATTTCCAGTGCAAATGCTTTTAAGTAGAAACTAAAGATATTAAAGTTGTAAAGATTAAAATGAAGTGAACTCAGGAAGGAAATTTACTATGGAAATGAGACCAAGTATTCTAAAGGTCCATAGTAAACTAGAAACATCCGCTAGAGTATGCTAACAGGAACGTCCTCCTAAAAACAGCTATTTATTCTTACATTCAAAATTTAAAACCTTAAGTCTACAACAAATCGATTTTAAAAATATTTTTAGGGTGAAACTATAATCACTTTATTCTCAAGTTAGAACTGTAAAAATAAATGCACATAGAAATATTTAAGAATTTAGATGACTTTTGTATCTTGTAATAAGCAGTCTTATCCTCACTATTCAGATTATGAAATCACTGCCCAATGTCCCTCAACCTGGGAGATAGAAAAGAACAGATGGGTGACAAGTGCAGACACCAAAAAAGGTTTAAAAAACTTAAGATTTTTTTTTTTGTTTAAAAAGAAAAATGAGTATCTGTAACAGGATGAAACTGGGTGATTGGGCAGTCTTTTTAATCCATCATCCATTAAATGTAAACTTAAATGACCTCAGTAAAATCCTATTTTCAGTGGATAATTGGTCGTAACCTAAAACATTCATTAAATACAGTTAATTGTCCATATTTTCCTAAGAGGTCACTTAAACACTTGTAGTTATATTAGCTACCAGAGCAAGTATAATTCTTACAGGAGTCAAAACAGTGACCTTCAACCTAAGTTCATGGTCCTTTCAAATTACTGAAAATAATGCTTATGTAAGATTTGAAATATGTAATGGAGTATAGTTATAGTTTAATCTTAGTTTGCCACTATTAGCAGTGAAATTGAACTATCACAGTGCCAAACAGAAAATGTAATTTACATCAAAAACATTTTTATTCTGTATGCGAAACTGACTCATTTTTTATTTTCCCTTCAGCCTACTGCTTCCAAGTCTGCTTTATCTCCAATATAAACTGGGCGGATTTCAAGAATACAGTAATAAGTAAAGCTAATGTAAAGTTTAAATGTTATCCCAACTGGGTTCTTAAATTGTATTGTAATTAGTACACATACAAATCAACTATCTGCAAATACTGGCCCTCTAAACTCCAGTGGTCGTGAATACAAACTCCTGGAAAACTCAAATATAATCCTAAAGGCAGAAAAATGAACATTTAGGAAAAGGGAGTGATTAAAAAGAACAATACTCAATCTACCAGCCTTCCAAAGAGAAATCATGCAATTGTGAATACATGTCAACCAACCAACTGTAATTAACATTCCAGCCAAATCACACAAAATAAAAAATCTGCTTTAAGAGCTGAAGTGGAAAACCACATCAGCCTGCCTCTGAATACTACATATCCAATTCTTATTAAAGTTTTATTTACAAATATGGTTGGTGGTAAAACATACATTTTTGCATTAATACATATTCACAACGCTATTTTAAAAATGGTTTTGCTTTAGACATCTCCAGAATAATTCAGTATAACATGCAAGACAATTTAAACACAAGATTTTAAATCATGTAATCTTCACGTTTAGCAGTAAACTTAGAATTCCAAAAACATTGTCTTAACAAAAACAAATCAAATTTGAAATTACAGTAATATTTTTTCTTGCCCAGATAAAAAAATATCATTACTAACTATATTAAGCTTTAACTGGCCAAACCAATTACATGCATTACCACAGACCAAAAACCATGTAATGGCATCTGCTTTGCCCAAAGTTCACAATGCCTAAAAAGGTTTTATATCCCAGGTATAAGAAATCCTACTATACTAATGTCTAGAATTTCCTGGGGAGTCAATGGGCAACCAACCAAAACACAGCTTCTGCAAGTTATGACTACTGAAACCTTTATAATACAAAAATAAAATTTAAAAGTTTTACCATTCTTCCCGCTGTGCCGTCGCTGCTTCAGAGTGTCGTGGGGAGGAGTTTGAATGGCTAGGGAATTAACAACCGGTACAGCAACCAATCAAAATTCTAGTTTTAGTTTTTGACATTGTTAGGGTTAAAAACTTTAATTCATTTACACTTCAGTTCAACAGGAGATAACTACAAAGGCAGCTGCTTTGTAATTTCAAAAATCTGGAGGGGTAACAGAAAGCCTGCCCCAAACAGCAAGTCATACCATTAATCATTTTAGTGCCTCTGCCCAAAGAACAGAATTCAGGGGGGAAAAAAATTAAAGGCTTAAATTTCCAAATATTTAACATATTCCTTTCTTAAATTAAACTATATGTTACTCAAGATTAACTGATTAAGAAAAGCTAGTTTCCCATCCCACCTTCACTCTCCCAAAGCAAGCACGATCAGCATAACAACAGGACAAGTCTGCCTGGGCTGAGATTATTAAATCCTATCTATACTCCAAAGGCTCTCTCTCCTCCCTCCAAATATTGCGTTCTTTCCCAATAAAGAAAATCATGTTTTCTAACACCGGGTTAAGGCGATATTTTATTGTTTTTACCTTCCAACACCTTTCTCCTTGTTACTGTGAAAAAAATTCTCACACACGCTACAAAAAGGAATGGAAGCATTAATCCAAGATCGGTAGTCAGTAACGGGAAAGAAAACCTAGCCAAGATCCCCGATTTAGTCCCTCCAGCTAACTCCTGTATTATGCTCCCGCCTCTCCCAATTGCTGAATTTTACTGTATTTAGTCCAGCTTGAATATATACAACTAATTCCATTTGGAGGAAGCAAGTTACTACTTAAAAACTTGCACCAAAAAAAAAGTCATGCCATAGCACAATATGGGATTTGTTCATTTTTGAAAGAAAGCTGGTGGGCCTCCTTTAACAGTGTGGTAAGAGCGGGAAGGAGAGATCAAGAGAGACTAAAAAAGGATCCTCGGCAACTGGTGGGGAAAAAGAGGTTTTGTAAAAAGTGGAAACTGCACAGAAAAAGTAAAATAGGTGAGAGTACAATCTGTACAAACTGAGGAACCCAACAGCTGAGAGCGCGAAAAGGGTGCGCGGTTAGACTAACTCGGCGGGTGGGGGAAGGGCAGCCTGCAAACCGGAGGTAAGAGATTAGAAAAGCTCCAGTCAAGTGCAGGCCCCGCCGACCAAGAACTTAAGACCGTGGAGCAAAAACAACGTACCAACAGGCGATTTGGGGGGAAATTCACCTATCCCAATTTGTTCTCCTAAACTGAAAGTTAGGGACTATGTAAGCAAGCCGTTGTGCGATAAGTGTGTAATGGAAAAAGGAAGAGATGGAGACGACTTATTCAAAATACCAAAAAAAAAAAGTATTTGGCCTGAAGCCGAAACGGGAGCAGCAGAGGTGGTCAGCATACACGTTCCCCAAAGCATGTGCTTATAAAAATAAAATTGCAGCGTCTCAGGATGCTAGAGTGAGGGGCACCAAATAAACCTTAGTTATACGGGCTTTTTTGTCTGCGTTTTTTGCCCGAAACTTCAGAAAACGGGGAACAGAGCCGAGAAAAGAGAAAAAAGGTACCCCTCGACAGGCGGGAAAAAATCCTGGCGGTTAAGTCGGTGGGAGGAGACCCATGGCAAGGGAGGGAAGGAGGGCGGGCCGGGGAGCAGCATGGTGACGGCTAAAGGTGGAAACGTGGGTGATGGGGGAGGGGGGCGACAAGCAGGCAGGGGGACAAGAATATGAAAGCCCCAGGGAGCCCAACGAGAGAAGGGAAGAATCGTGCAAGGAGTCTTCATAAGGGCCTGGAGTGCGGGCGGAGCGGGAACGAGGCCTAATGGCGGAGGACAGGAAGGGGGAGGGGGACTAGTTGGGCCTGGCTATCCCTAGGCCGCCCCTTACTCACCCTTCATCCTCCTCGTTCTTGCTGGCATCGATCTTCGCCCCCTCCGACTCGGCGCTGCCCCCTTCGGTGCCTCCGGCCGCGGTTCCGCCCCCGGTCCCGGCTCCGCTTCCCGCCGCCGCCACTGCCCCCTGCGCCGCCGCCACCATGGCTCCCTCCTGCTCGCCCGCTGAGCCGCCTACCGCCGCCGTTGCCACCGCCGCCGCCCCGTCCCCGCCGAACTGCTCCTCCGACATAGTGCTACTACCTCCGCCGCCGAAGAGACTACACCCGCCGCTGCCGCGAACCGAAACTAGCAGCAAAGTAATCCCCGCCGCTGCCGCGCGCTCGCTGTACCGCGCGAAGCACACAACACGACAGAGAAGGCGCGCGTGGCTGCAAAGGCTCCTGCGCCTCTCCCTGGCCTGCCCCCCTCGCCTCCCACTCTCGCGCAGAGCGCACTCCCGCTCCCTTCGGCTACACTAAAAAAGAATAAGCAGCGGCGGCCGCTCTTGCCTCCTCCTCGCTTTAATGGCGCCGCCGCGGACCACCTAAAATGGCCGACGGAAGAACGGCGCGTCCCGATCACGTGACGCGCGAGCGCGCCCTTTGCACCTCCCCCGCCCCCTCTACCGCTATTTTTTCTCCCCCCTTCCTCCTCGGTCCCGCCCTCTCGCTCCCTTTTTATACCTTCCTCGCACGCGCCGCGCCGCACAGCTTGGGGCCTTTAAAAGGAACCGGAAATGGCGTTCGATAAGACGGCCGCGCGAGGATCATCGAGAACAAGGAGCGCTGTTTCGAAGGCGCGGCTAGAGATGCCCCTGCTTCTGCCCCCGCCCTTCGGAGGGTTCCTGGAGTCCGCTCACCCAGCTACCCCCTGCATCAGGCGGGAGCCCGGTCGTCGGGTAGGGTTGTGGTGTCACCTCCCGGAAGACGACTGTGCGCTTGTCGCTTTGGGGTTGCGGAGGGGAGGCATGCACTCGGCGGCTTCTATGTCCTAGAAATGCCCAGCCCCAGAAAAGAAGGAGGCAGCCCTGAAGTTTCGGCCCCGTGCCTCCGGCTCTGTCCAGAGTTGCGCCCGGAGCGCCTGGCTCGCCGTACGCGGAGCGAGGCGCCGCTGCGCGCGTGCATGGACTGCCGCAGATCCTCTGCCCGCTGTAGTCACCCGCGACCAGGTGACATTGAGGTTTCCCCGGCTGTCGCCGCCGCGCTTTCCGACTCGGGGCGGGCTCTCTAACACCGCTGAGAATTAGGAGTTTTTTCTTTTAAGATTTGCTTTCCAAATAAGATTTTTCCTTGCCTGCTTTTCTCCTGAATTTTTTCGTCTAAAGAAGTAGATAACTTGCATATTTTAAAGAACTAGGATTGTTTTGTTTTGCTTTATTTGAAGATCTTAAAACCTACCACGATTCTTTGAAAATAGTGGGAAGTGTGTTAGATCAACCAAGATTTCATTTAATTTAGCGAGTTTTAGTTTCTGTTCTAAATAGAATATATAAATTCTACGAATCATCTTTACAAGGTTTCTGAGTTTGTTGTGGGATTTGGGTGTGTTTTTTTTAAACACCGCTAGGAGTTACATGCAGGGTAACAGTAAAGTTCTTTTTAATAGACCTATTAGAAGTCCCAAATGCTTTGGCTGGAAACTAGATTATTCGAGCTTTGGGATTTGCAGTTTCCTGCAATACACTCAGGAAAAAAAAATAGTTTTTAGGTACTTAGGCAACAAATATTTGCGTGTTTAGCATGTACCCAAGCACAAAGAAAACAAAGATGAGTGCAAAATACAGCAAAGAACTCAAGAGTTTAAATATTTGTTTTCCACCATGTAATTAAATGAATTTGTCAATTGGATATTATCCAAAAATCTCAAAGGAAGATTAAAAATATCTAATTTTTATTGTTAATCAAGTTAGCAGAATTTGCATTACAGAATAATTAAAACTCGGGTACAGCTAAGTTCTGAAAACGTCTTAAAAATGTAATCTCATTGAATTCCTGTATTAAGCAAATCACACACAGGCAATGCCAAAAACAGGTATCTTAGACCAAGTGGTAGTGACTTCACCTGTAAAAGTAGTAGCCAAGGAGAAAGTGGGTATTGTGCTCAAGCCAATATTCCAATTTAGAGACAAATCACCTAAAGGGAGGTGTCTTGAATCTTTTCTGTCTTCAAGAGAGGATTTATTTGCTTTAGACATGCCTCACCTTTTAGTAATAGACTTTCCCAAAAGGTCCATTTTAATTAATATGTAGCTCAGTAGTTTCTGAACTTCTTGGAATTTTTAAAAAATTTTTATTTAAAAGATAAGAACAATTTTAAAGCTAATACCTTTACTATGCTACATGAGTATGTAAGATGCCATGTTACTACTCATATCTATATGTAATGGCCCAAATCTCTGCAACCTATGCTCCTACATCGCCCGAACATTCCGTCTTAGAACTTATTTAACTTGAACCTTAGTTCTTTTCACATTCTTCTTCTGCCTGGTAAACTTATTCATCCTTCAATAATCAAAGGCTACTTCTGTGAAGCTTTTTCTGACAGTGTGTTCTGTGTGTCCTCCCAACCTCACTCACAAACATACACATGTGTACATACAGTAGACTGTTAGCTAGTTGAATTATTTTTACACGACGAAATACTAGATATTTCTAACTAGTTAGATTTGCGGCCTTTCAGGCAAAGTAGGTACGCTTCCAGAAACTTAAAACGGTTCCTCTCCCAACTATCCCATTTCATCTCTGGCGTAAAAACACTTCCTCAAACCACTTGCTGACATGTGGATTCCTTAAGGAGAAAACCAAACCTTTATTTCACATTTATAGGTAAGAATTTAATGTTTAAGTGGCTGAAGATTATATACTGGTGCTGTATTAGACTGGCCCAAACCACTGCAAGGAAACAGTATCCCCTCTCAGTGTCCATGACATCAAAAATTTCATAGCTTTAGGAGGTCGCAGTGTATTTCAGATAACACACTGCAATACTGGATCCTCATTGACTTCAACCTTTGTGAATAACTTTAGAAAAAAGTGGAATACTTAGAAGAAGCAAAAAAAAAGTTCATTTGAGATTAAAATGGAATTACTTTTACCCAGGATAAGATATACACACCTATGTTGCTGAAATTCAATTCAAGAAGTCACAGTTTTAATTTGCTAAATATACTCTACAAATAGGGCGAGTATATCCTATGCTGAAAAATTTTAAAGTGGAATATGCATTCCATTTGGCAGCCTAAAATGAACAGTGTCCAGAAGAAACAACAGGAAGAACCCATTTCCTATATAAGGTACACACTTGAGCTCTTCTACAACCATGTTAAACAGCCACTTACTTGCAAAAGCCCATCAGTAGGATTTAAGCATTTTGTTGAAGCATTAGCTTGTGATTTTAGATGGTGACCAATTGCAAAAAAGTGAACAATCTGTCCTTCCTAGTGATCAGGAAGTTCTCACTTCACTTAGAGAAAATTGAGGCCCTATCACTGAACTGTCAGATTTTACTTAAGCAAATCTATTGTAGAATCTGAATTCTGCTTAACCACAGATGTCTGTCTATATGTTGCTGAAATTCAATTAAATGATTGCTGGCAGTGAGCTGCCCTTTTTTTTCTAAACAAGAAAGGGTTAAATGAAACCCACCCACCTATGTGCTCCAGACAAAAATTAAGGAGTCCTTAATGTCACCCAATACATTCAATTAACCAACTCCTACCTCTAAAATATATCTTGATTTATCTAAATGCTTCATAGAACATAAAATAGTAGGGTTATTTCTAGTTGGGTTTATTCACATTCAATCATGCAACACACGGCACAGGTACATTTCTGGTGCTGGCAATATAACTAAAACACAATGGTCTACAGCCATGCCACCCTGAACAAGCCCAATCCCATCTGATCTCGAAAGCTAATCAGGGTCGGGCCTGGTTAGTACTTGGATGGGAGACCACCTAGGAAGACCAGGTGCTGTAGCATAAAAAATAAAACAAACAATGTAGGTGATCTCATGGAACTGAAATTTCAGTGGGAGAGGCAAACAACAGACAAAATAAGTAGATGTGTAACAATTTTAGGTAGTGATAGGAAGAAAAATAATAAGGTGCTAGCTAGGGATAGACTATATACTATTTTAGATAGGGAGAATTTAAGGCGGTAACTTTTCGAGTAAACCCTGAAGGAAGTGACAGCCATACACATAGCTTAGGGAAGACTAACAGGCAAAAGCAGACGTGTACTTGGCACTTGCAGTGAATGATGGAGGCCTGTGTGGCTGAATGCTGGGAGGAAAGCAGAATAGGTCATATCTGAGAGATATCCAGGAATATGGTCACTCAAGACCTTGTAAGCTGCCTTTAGCACTTTGCTTTTATTATAAATGTGATTCGAAAGTACATGAGGGTTTTGAGCGGGAGAAGGGAATGACTTGACAAACTTTTAAGTGGCCAGAATAATCCAGATAATTATAATCTGAATTATAATCCAGATCATTCCGGATGTTGTATGGACAATAGGCTGGGAGGGTATCAGGAATAAGTTAGAAGGCCACTGTCATGAGCCTTATCTGATAAGAGGCAAGTCTACAAATAGAGTGTTATTTAAATGTGGTCATGTAACTATTTTACAATAACTTCCTACAAAGAAAAACATGCTCTGATGACAACAAAATATCATTAAAACAACCGAATTCATATTATTGATATTTCCAATAAAGAATAAGGTTATTTTCATTAACTTAAGAATTTTTTCCTTCTTTTTCTCCCTCCTTTTGAAGTTCTGGGATGAAATTTTGATTAGCTACTGCAGGTAGGGTTTTTTCCAGAGCCTTTTCATAATCTTGCATCAGGCATTACAGTAAGTATAGTATTTTGACTTGAACTGAGTTCCGGCATCTTGGATACTCCACACTTCTTTTTCCAGGGACCAAGGCTAAAGCCAAATAGTGTCAGGTTTTGTTTCATAGTGTAGTTTTCAGATTGTTTTGCCTGCTAATTTATAATTGTCCCACTTAGTTCATAGGAGCTACTACAGTTCAAGGGAATAATTATTGAAAGAGAACATAATACAGAAAACTTGGGTTTTCAGATTAAGGTTCAACTAACATATTGAAAGCCTCAAACAAAGGAATGTATCTCTTGATTAGAGCCTTGTCCTTTGTTGCAGTGGCTCTGAGTTATTTGATACTCCTTATCCCATACAAACTGCATGAGAATAATCACTTCCTTACATCAAGACCGAGAGTTTTCAGAACAGTTGCTGAAAAGTCACATTTTAAAAAGTGAAACATAATCAAATAGTCACCCCAATTAGAGTGCCCCTCAGACTGGATTTCCTTTGTAGGTAGAGAAGCCACCTGAACTTTTGTGTGACCCTGCCATCCCTACCCTGTACTGGGAGGGTGCCTTTCACAGTCTTCCTGACTGTGGCTGTCAACTCTACCCCTGCGTGGCAAACCTCAGGCAGGGAGGGGAACACAGCTGGAGCAGGGACTGGCTCAGCTAGAATAGGTCCAGTCCTAGGGGCTTTTCAGAATTTGAAATCACCCTGGCCCC